CACAAGACAAAAGGAAGATTTGGCGAAGAAGGTATGTTAATATTTTGAAATTGCCTCCCAACTGCTCTACCTAGCTTCAATTCTACCCACTCCAGTCCATCCTTCAATGTGTTTCTACAGTGTTCTCTCTACAACATAAAACTATTCATGCACATGTAAACTATTCAATAAATATTTACTTAATGAATGTAGAAAATGAATAAGTAAATTAATAAATGAATGGGATGAGGAGGAGAAAAAGTAGAGTTCTCAGTGAGATAATTACAAACATTTCATTTAAAGAAAGCAGAGCCACTTCCCAAAAGTAAGGGCACATTTTGGCATTTTCTATGGATTTTGGAAAGCAAAATTAGCATAACTACTGTATCAGACACTAGATCATCTTGCCTCACATACCCTTCCAGTGGGTATTGCTCAGGCCATTTATTGTGGTAAGCTATGGAAACTCTTGTACTACCTCAGCTGCCACAGACCTAGGAGCTCTTACGAACAGTTCTGATGGAAAAGGAGGGAGGTTCTGGCCAGTGAGGCTCAGTTGGTTGAAGTGTTGTCCCATAACCAAAAGGTTGCAGGTCTGATTCCTAGTCAGGGCACCTATGATCCCCAATCCATGTGCATACAGAAGCAACTGATAGATACTTCTCTCTAACATCAATGATTCTCTCTAAAAGCAATGAAAATAAAATGTCTTTGGGTGAGGGGGTTATATAGATAGATAGAGAAAGATGAGATAGAGATGAGGATAGAGATGATAGAGATAGAGATAAAGATAGAGAGATAGAGAGAGATAGAGATAGAGTAGAGATAGAGAGATAGGATAGAGTTGAGATAGAGATAGAGATAGGATATAGAGATAGATAGAGACAGAGATAGAGATAGAGATAGAGATAGAGATGGGAGAGGGAGAGGGATTGACAGATATAAAAGGAGGGAGCAGCTCACCTTTGCCCTGGCAGGACTGCACCCCTGAGGCCCTGGCTCCCCAGTGGCTTCCTGGAGACTCCAGGTAACACTATTTGGAAATAGGATGGGGCAAACTCTAGCCAATGAAAGACCAAAGAAAGGGAAAGCCAGAAGAATAATTAATTACTAGCCCTTCTTGCCCACTTACCCCAGTGCCTGTTCTGATACAAAATAGTTTAACACAGCTCTGGAAATGTCTCTCAATAATGCAACCATTTTTGTTTGCTCTCCCTCTTCCTTCTCCCCCCTCCACTGTTGCATTCTAGGATTGTACCATTCAGTAAAGTGTTAGCATTAAGTGTGTGTCTCTTCTTTTATTTCTAGAAAAACTAATCTAAACAAGTAATTTTTAGAAATTTTCAAATATTAAGTATCTTGAAAGATATTTAGCAGCCCATTATTAGAAGCACAAAACAAAAAATAACGTTTGTAGTGAAAACATTCATTAATTTGCATTGGGTTAGTGTTGTGTGCTGGAAAGAGTAGTTGTAAAGAACAGTTATTGAAGGAGAAGGAGGTCAAGAAGAAATGGAGAATGAACAGTCAAGCAACAAAGAAATGGTAATTCTTCTTCTAGATCATCAACAGAACATAATCAGAAACACATGGCTAGAGTAGATACAAACGTATTCCCCAAATAGCAAAGTTTCCACTAGAGGAGAACATATTAGGGAGATTTTCTTCCATTGTTTCTGTTTATAATTTATGTGTTCCTATGTTACAAAATACATATTAAAATGTTAGATTCCATAAAAATAAGTAAATCTAATGAGTGACCTACTTTACTGAAAACAACTGAAATTGTCTCTAGTTTATATATTAAATTGATATAATTTTAAGACACATCAAATTACCAGCCAAAATTCGAACAAGTTATGTTGGGAGAAAACCCAGAAGAAATGACAAAAGTATGTCAGCTTAGCAAGGCTCCTTGGGAAGATAAAATGGAAAAAAGAGTTAAAACTTGGCCAGAAAGAGGGACAGTACTTCCTTACTTTGGAAAGTTGGCATATACTGTGTACCATGATCTCAATCTCTACTGGAAACAGTTCTAAACATTGAACCAGATCCCAACTGTAAAGATGTAAAGGGAACACACCTTTAAATATTCCAACTTCAGAGCCCTCTGTTGCTGGGCCGACTCAGTACAAAAGGTCTTCTCTTAGAAACAACTGAAACCAAAGACTGGAACATACTCATGGCTCCTCCATGAAAATATGAAAACTATGATTCAAGAAATATTCCATGAGATACACTTTGGTTTCTGAAAGTGCATTCCTGCAGACTCTACAGCATTCATTAAATCACTTTTTCAAATGTCCTCTGGCAGAGTCTTTAAGAATTTTTCTCCTTTTGTTAGACTTGTAAATTCAGGTGCAACTTCTCCTTTTTGAGGAGGCAGTTAGTTTAAAGTTTAAATGTTTTGCTTTTTAGGCATTTTTCATGTGTCTTCATATTTCTTTGGGTGTGAATATCTGAAGAGAATCATGACTTTTCCCAGAGAATTGCACATACACACACGCGCAATAATATCTTCCACAAAATGCTTGATTTCAGTAGACACCTTATATACCCAAGTACTTTCTGGAACCCATGAACCTCAGGTCAAATCCACCTATTTTAAGTAACTTTCAAAATCACTTAAAGACGGATGGACCCAGCAAGGGAAAGCCCCAGTGACAAGCATATTCTGGTATGCAAATCAAAGTAAAAACAAACCCAAACTCTATAGACAGAAGCAATGCTTCTTCTATAGAAGTCCTAAAAGCTGTATTTTAGGTCTTCAGGGTCTTAAAGAAAATCTATGTAGCATCTTATCAGTTATTTTAAAATAAAGTTTAATAAGTAGCTTTTTGTGAGAATGATTTATATGTTGACCTCAAAGGCATTTCTTTCTTCACTTAAACTATCAGAAAGAATATTCATCTTTAAAACTAGATTATTATTCAATTCTCTTGTGTGTCATATAACACAAGAATAACTAATTTATACCTGATTTAAACTAACTCCACATCTAACTTCCTTTCTCCCTCTAATTTAAAAAAATGGCTCTCAACCAATGCCTGGCACAAGTTAAGTCAAAAATAGAGAGTTAAGTGGCAAATGTTTGGAAATTCAGTGATCATATCTACTGGATTTCTGGATTGTAACTGTGAGTTTAGAATCTCGCTTATGATTAAAATATTTAAGGCTGTCAACAATTTGAAAAAAGATCATCATGTATTTGTCATTTTTTTGTGAAGAAAATTCTAGACTGAATGTTTTACACAAGCGGCCGATAGGTTTCGGATGGCTTTTAAGTAGCAGGAGATCCAAAGCTCAAATGGAATTTTCTGTGACAGCCTACAAATAACAGTTAACATATGCCTAAGTTACAGGCAAAAGCAGGACTCACGTAAAGTCAAGCAGGGATAAGAAGGGCTGTAAGGTAATGAACAAAAACCTTTTTGTCCAAAATTCTCAGCAAAAATTTTAGCTACTTATAGAGCAAAACCATCTCAACTATTTTAAAAGAAAGTATATTTATTGATACTAGAAACAAACAAGAAGGAACTTTCAAAAGTTAGTTTATACCCATCATAAATTTGAGGTACTCAAAAAAGCACAAAAATTGTAAGAGTTAAGTTAATGCTAGTATAAGTGAACAAAAATGCACATTCTTCAATTACTTTAGAGTATTTAATAACTGATTCACACTTGCAGTTGAAGTTCATTTAGAAATGTTTCTAAGTTATTATCTGCTATTTTTTACATCACATATTTCTTGATTAAAATGCTTCTTGGCATTATTGATAAAATAAGTCATAAAAAGTGTGAATTTCCTTTGTTTTAACCTAATATTATTCTGTAGTTCAGTAAGTTCTAGAGTTGCAGCTTCACAAGTTATTATTAGAAGCTTTGAACTTCTTTTTATTCCGAGCATCAGTCCTGCAGTAGAAACCAGGTAGACGCACCATGTCAGAATGCTGGCCCAGTGGCTTGCCTGAACACCTCTGAATGTCAGTCATCTTGTCTGTAAAATGACACTCAAACCTACCTTATCTATCTCACAGGGTTATAAGTCTGATATGGAATCAATAAGAGTTTTTAAAGCAGGACAGTGCTGTTGCTGGAGGTGTTGGCAATAAAAGTAGAAGTACTGTTGACATTTGACAAGAAGTTCCACTCCAAACAATAACCATGATCATAGGATTTACTGCAGAAATAAGACAGTACTTTATGGATTCCTAAATTATCTTGCTATAATACCTGATGTAGCATAGAAATCATTGACTTTGCTATTATGAATTTTGTCTGTGTGTTTTTTCTTGTTCTCTTTTCAACTAGACTACTTTAAATGTCATCATTTCACTGACAAGCATAAATAGAATGGTATATTAAAACAGAAATTCTGAGTGTTTCTATGTTTTCTTCAACAACTTGACAAGTGAGATTAGTAAAGTTAATTAGCATGTAAGTATGGAACAATCTATATTTTCCTGTTTCTATAAGCAATAAAATACAGTGTGTCAGTTCTTTTGAAGAAACCTATTATATTTTTCTTTTAAATGTTTCAGAAATAAACATTTGCTCTAGAAAAGTGTTCAACAATTAACAATTGATTTAACCTATTGCAAATTGAAGTTTTGGAGTATCTTTGACTCTGAATTGGTCTGGTCACTCATACTGACTGCCCTGAGGAAAGAGACACCGATGTGTATCAAATTTTAGGAATCTTTCATTTATGTTCCTAAACTTTAAATCTTTAGTTCTCTTAGAATATTAATATTTTAGAAAGCATTCATATCACTCCCACCTCTTCCAAACTTTTTCTTTCAGCTGAAATGAAGTGAAATTCTAAAAGATAAAATAATGGCCTGGGCTTTCTGGAAGTCAAGTTGAAGCTAGCATGTGTTTCACTGTCATAAGGTCAGTCTCTGGGCTGTGTGTACCCTGGCTCCCTTTCAGCCCTCATGGAAGTTAATTTTAGTTTTATAGAAAGGACAGAGAGAGGCCACTTTGCAGAAAATGTCAAGGTTAACTGATGACAGTCTTACCTTTCTGATTTCCTGTGCATTACCGGAGAGAAGGAAGCACTGTTTGTCCACAGAGAATCCTTTCTTGCATCTGTTCCCCTGGGTTTCAGTGGGTGTGTTTGGGGCAGCCTCCGGGACAGTACCTGCAAGCTTCTTTGTCCCTAGGGGTGTCAGGGTCTGGTAGAAAAGACAGATTGCCACCACCAAGCCCACCAAAAAAGGCCGGGGGCAAAATCGCCGACGACAGAGGAACACTGGACGACAGACCATGACCAGTTCAGCTTCACTTGGACCCTGTCCACGTTGCCGGAAAAGTCATAGCAGCTATTTTTTGTCAGCATAAAGAATACAGATCTGTCTTCTTTTTCCACAGCTTACATCAAGATTGCTCCATCTCGCTTAAGAACTTTCCGAAGAATCATGCCAAAGAATTGTAGGTCCAAAAAGTCTGGGGCGGTTACTAAGAGCCCTTCCATGGATGACAGTGAAAAGTGTCTTTCCTGGGTTAAGAAAAGAAGAAGATATCAAAATAATAATAGTTGTAACTAATATCCTGAATATACCCCAGGCGACCAAACTGTTGCTTCCGGTAATGCCTTATTTCCACAACATCCTTAAACTCACAGCGAAGACTTTACAGGAAAAGAGAAGACAGCAAACACCCGAGTAAATCCGGAGCCTTAGAGCAGCGTTGAAGAACGCAATAGGTTAAAACCCAAAGCGCCTGTTGCACAGCTGGGCGCAGGCCAGCTTGCCTTAGCAGTTCCTCGTTTTCCTCCGGTTTTAAAAGCAGTCCTGCTTTCCGCCTTTCAAGTTCCTTAACTACTTCCCTTCATTCAGTTTCAAATTGCCACTTTCCTGTAAGCATTTATAGCTTTTAGTATAAAAAGAGGAATGAACGCTTGGAATGGACATGGTTACTGTTAGGATTTTGCTTGTATTTGTTACATTCCGTTTCAAGTTCAAAATTCTGTGTACTTACTCTGTTTTCATCCTTTTCGGCAGAAAAAAGTTTCCGTGGCCCCCTCCCTAATGGACAGTTGATCAGAACCACTCAGAAGGTAACACCCAGCCGTGTGGCTCCAATTCATCTCCTACACACGGACACCCGTGGGGAAACCCAGAGCCCACGCACGCCGCCGCCCTCCCGGTGGGCAGCAGCGCGGGGCACCGCAGCCACACCGGCAAGCGGGCGGGCCAGGGCGGGGCTTCCACGCCCGGGGCTCCTCGGGTCCCCCCGGGGCAGCTGGAGGTGCGGTGAGTTCAGAAGGAGAAAGAAACGGGGGCTCCCGCAGACTGGGAACAGCCTTTCTCCGCACCCCGCTGCCCCGAAATGCATCTGCCTCCCAGAGCTGCAGAATTTTAAATACACACTTGATTTCCGATGCCTTATGTAATTTCTGTTTCCTAACATAACGTTGCAAAAACAAATAGCCCTTCGTCAACTGATGACAGAAGTCGAGGGTGAGATTAAAGAAGACTGTGAATTGGGAGAATAGTGGTCACTCTTATGGGGTCACAACTGCTGTCTAGACCTCAGAACAGCAAGCCTGTTGTATGCACAGAATGACTGGAAGTGACCTTTCTGTTTTAGTACCTAACTCCTATCACAGTTATTATTAGTCCTTTCCTGGACTTTCAAAGTCTAATTGCTGGCACTGCTCTTATAATAGTTGATTGTAACAGGTATTGGGTAACTTTTTTCTCTGCAGAAAAGGGTGCACAGCATGCTTTGTCCAGAATTCAATTCAATCTATTGCTGCCATATAGACCGCCGGCGAAAACACTCCTAGTCTGGCGATTCTGCAAACGCCATCCACTTTTGCTGAGTCAGCTGAGGGAACTTCTGGGGGAAAAGCAATCTGCCTTGTGCATGGTGCTCACCTCTCCCAGCCCTCGCTTTGCGAATTGGTTTAGGCTCATAGCAGTCATTTCCAAAGGCTCTGAATCTAAATAGATTTGTAACCTGTTTCTAACTCAAACTAGTTTTTGTGAGCTGAGGTTCTCCTTTGAGGCCACACCCCCAGAGCGATCCCATCCTTTAGGCAAGCTCCCATTAGCCCTTTAGATTTTGTGAGATGGCGCGCCCCCTAGAGGTGCCCAACTACTGTAGACTGAGAAAGGGCATCTACAGGTAGGAAACAATTTCGATGCCTTCCTTGTAAAACAGCTTAAGTTTTGCAGAATAAATATTCACACTAAATTGAGACTTATCCAAAGTTCTTGCATATATTTCCTCTAGTATGTTTAATATTAATTTATAGTATCAGGGGCCTCAATCTCATGACCAGTGAAGGAGTAGAGAAAAATGAAGTAGCACTTGACTTTAGGAAGCCAATAGAGATTTTAGAAGAAACGACTAAACAGTAGTGTTTTGGAAGGTAGTTTTGGTGGATGCAATGTGATCTGAGACATTATAGGGATTATGACATCTCTAAGTCATAATTGTCTGTGTCAATGAAATTCAGGGTGTGACAGTTATTTACTACATGAAAAGTAGTGGACATGCAGTTTTATTAAGGCAAAAAGGCTGAATAACCAAGAGTTTGAGGAATATAAAGGATCGTTTTTATGCATTGTTAAATAGTTGACTACAGGATACAAAGGAGACAATAAATCAGATGCTATAGTAATATTGCCTTGGGGTTGGGAGAAGAGAAAAACAACAGAGATGATTTTAAAGCTAGACTTCAGATAACAGGAGTCTGAAAGAAAATGGAAAAGTAGTGTTCTAGAAATAATGCTGGCAGATTGAAGAACCCAGTTTCCTATTTTACCACTAGTCCGAGGGAGTGGGAGAGGACAGCATATAAAGGGACGTCTACAGAAGAGAGAAAAAACATAATTAGAGTGGGACAGCAGAAAGAAGAGCAGGGATCAGCCCCAAACGAAGGGAGTCCATAAACAACATTTGATATTCGAATTAACCCAACCTGGGTGTGAATCATGTTGTTTTTTATCAATTGTTTTTTAGCATGCGGCCTATATTACTAATGCCTACTTTGAAGTGCTATTGGGCATGACTACATGAAATATTGTATGGAAAGCACCTAAGCATTCTGGACGCATATGTTGGAAGAAGGCATGCTGAATGTGTGTGTTATATTTTGGATCCTGGGACTGAGCTCAGTCTTATGTGGTGTCAAACACATGAACAGATAATTACCAGCATCATGGGGTTCTTGGGACACAGAAGCACCAAAGGCAAGCATGTGCACTTAGTGTAGATCTCTCCCCATTACTCTGTGAGATGGAAGTGGGTGGCAGATGCTAGTTTGGAAGGGTGAGAGAAAGGGTAGGATGGGAATGAGTTGTAAGTGGAGACTACAGGTGGGAGGGATTTATGCCCGTGCAGTAAGGGAAGCATGTGTTAGAGAATGAGGCATCAGAGGAGGGAGGAATGAAGAAAAGGATGGTTCAGTGTGCGGAGTAGGAGGATAAATATGCAGAACTATGAGCCTGTGGATTCTGGCTGTGTTTCAGAGTGAATATTTTTGTGTGATGGTTTCATGAAGTAGCCCTTCCACTAAATCATTTTGGTATCCAAGGGCTGTTATGTAAGGAGCGTTAACTTGGGACAAGAGAGTAACAGATTTCTCCAACACAAAATATACCCTTTTATAACGCGTTTCAGTTTATCTTTTAGTATGGAGTGGTGATGAAGGGAGCAGATTTATTTAATAATTATTGTTTGTAGAAGGCACTTTATTTTACCATTTAAACTACAGCAGTAAAAATATCCATAATAGACAAGATTCCCGTGTGGGATCAGGAACTTTGGGAAAGTAACTTACTTCTTTGAATATCAGCTTCCTCATAAAATACTCCCTCTGAGTAGCATCTTCAGTGATCACTAGACCTCAAAGGGCACCTGAGACTTCTAAGTTATCCTTCTAAGGATGCATTTTGACATGGATTTCCTCTCTCTTACAACCTGGAAGGAAGGTGAAATCTTCAGATTCTGGGCCCTCTGGTTTCCTACAGGGGAAGCTATTCCCTTTCAAGAGGCTCTTGACCATGGTGATGTGAATTACATCCTGGCAGCGCTGTCAATGATACATGGGCACTCATCCTCCAGCACTTCTTCCCTGGACTTCATGTAATGCTGGCTTTGGAACTTCCTCTTTTGGCTTTGAACATAAGATGATGTTTTCAGATCATGAATCATGTATTTAAATCTCTACCATGCCAAAACATTGTCCTAGGCACTGTGAACAATGGAAAACATATGACACGTATTGTAAATTACTAAAATATAATAAACACACTGATAAATTGGTCAAGGTAGAAGAAATTCTGTAACAACCTCAAAACCTTAGTGGCTTGATATAATAAAAGCACTCATAATTTTCCAGGGATTGTCAGTTTCCATTAAGACATTTGGTACCCAGGGTCCTTCCACCTGGGGGTTTTCCTTCCACACCCTAGAATCTTGCTCACCCACTGGGGTCCTCCTAATACCACAGGTGGATGAAGAATGAGAGAAGGGCATGCAGATGGTGTAGGAGCTCTTTTGAGGCCAAGCTTCAAATTGTCATATATTCTTTGGCCCACCTTCTATGGGCCAGAGCCCAGTAAACATGGACCCACCTAAGTGAAAGTGAGCTAGGAAATGAAGTTTTAGCTACATGTGTGCCCAAGAGGAAAAGGAAACAAGGTCAATAAACACATAGCTAGTTGTTCCAGCCACAACTAAGGTGGGAGTAAATGCCATGGAGACCCCAAATAGAGAAATCACATCTTTTTGAAAGCGACAAGGAAAGTGGTCATTTCTTAAGCAGGCCCTCGAGTGTCACAAAGATTTCAATGACTTCAGAAGGGCAAATACAGGTTGAACATCTTAGTGGAAGACCACTGAGGATAAAGCTGGAAAGTTGAGTTCAGGTCAAGGATGGCTGTATTTCTAAACTTATGAGTGTATTTAGCCTTTGTCTGGAGACAGTATGAATCCAAAAATAAAAAAATGTCTTTCCCAGAATATGTATTAATGAAGATATCATTGACAGTTGTCAGGATATAGGTTGGCCTTTATTTACAATTACCCAAGAATGCTGTTATATTACCATTAACTTTAATGGTAAACTCAGAGCAAAATCTTTTGTTTTTTAGATAGAATAAGGACAACATGACTCAAGTTCATGTAGTTACTGTCAATGGTGCAAAATACACATGATTTAATAGAAAATTCTATGTGCAGTGTTAAATTCTTGCCTTTGGGCCCTCACTGTCCCTCGGGAGGAAAATGCTATGATCAGTCACAATTATGCCTTATCCCATAAAGTTATGTAGACACAGAGTGTTGGTTTAGATCAGGTTTAGGATCATGCATCTTTTCATCTGTATTTACGGCTTTACACTTGCCTTTTATTATAATGACATACCAGAAGTTCAGTCTACAGTCAGGCCATGCCTGGTTCTTTCTATGATAGAGAATGAACAGAAATCCTCAAACAGTCCTGCAATTTTTAATGCAGTCAACATTTAAATTTGCTTAATTTTCTTTCGACCCAGTTACATTGCCTCTCTCCAAATCATTTCACTTATGTAAAGTCACTTTTGTATATAAATCTATGGGTTTCAATAGACCCCTGAACCTTTCATGGAGGTTCAGTCAAGATTTCTCTCTTCCTTTCCAGTGCTTCAAAAGCCACTGAAGGCTATCTCCTGACAGGAGGATTCAGCAGTGGTCTAGGCAACCATGTCAAAGGATGAAGGAGTCCCCTCGGGCACAGCATTTGTTCAATTTACACATGGAAACAAGATGCTGTGGGGCAAAACTTCATTTTTCTACTACCCTTGCTTTGTTCAATGTTTATTTATTTAAACAGACAATTCTACAGTCTCTTCACATATCTCGATGAACAACCGTCCAGATAGACCAAACTGAATGCTTTTCATTTTGAACTGTCCATAAGACCAGTACTTCCCAGCACACAAATCACCTTGAGGTACCATACACAATACTAGGCACTGCCTTTTTAAATGTGACGTACAGTAAGTCCTTACTTAATGCCATCAATAGGTTCTGGGGAACTGCGACTTTAAGGAAAACAACACATCAGACCAATTTTACCATAGGCTACTTGATATAAATAAGAGGTAAGTTCCTACAGCATATTTCTGGTTACAGAAACATCACCAAACTTCTAAATAAAGACCCCAAACAGTTCTAATATTAAACATCAAAATAAATGTGAACTATACATACATTTAAGAAAGATTAATAAAAGCATGTACAGTAACCATTTTCCAACTCACAGATTCCAGAACCTACCCCAGCAGCTCAGGGCACACAAGACAGGAACCCGCCCGCCCTGGACTGGAAACCTGCAGAGCAGGGCCACTCACACACCCACACTTGTTCAGACTGGGACAATGTAGACAGGCCAGCTCATCTCACATGCACATCTTTGGGCTGTGGGAGGAAACTGAGAGTCCCTGAAGAAAACCCACACAGACATAAGGAGAATGTGCAGACTCCACACAGACAGTGGCCAGATGAAGAATTAATTTTATTTTTCTCATCAATGTTAAGAACCAAATGACATTGAACAAAATGATGCTATTCAAGGACCTGCTGCACTAGTGACCTTGCTTATTGTCTGTAAACTCTCTTTATAAGCATTTTGAACTTGCTTGCATCAGTACCAAAATTACATTTATCAGACTCTGTACTGTATTTTAGTTACTAGTATACTTATATCTTTACAGTAGAGACGGCTATATGACAGAAACTACTTTACTCAACTCGGTATTCTTGTGGCTTCTAGCAGTGTCTTCACTTATGTGATTGAACAATTCTTATTTGTTTGAGGACTACATGTCATAAACCCAAATACTTTCCATATTATACAGATTCTTCCCAAAAGAAGTATTTCATATCTTGGTAACCTTGAACCCAGTGGGGCAGTTCTGCCCCCCAGAACACATCTGGCAGTGTCTAGACAGTTTCAGTTGTCACACTTGAGGCTGAAGGTGCTACTGATATCTAGTGCGCAGGTCCAAGGGAAGCAACTCCCCCATGGAGAATAATTTGGCATGAAATGCCCATAGTACTGAGGTTGGGAAACTGAAATTTAACCAAAGGAATTGTTGCACAATTTTTGTATGTGGGTAAGATTGTTACTTAAATTAGAATAGTGAGCACTTGAACAGTTTGTGGCAATGACATTGGGATTTTAACCCCTTCCTTAATGTGTAATTATAACGCTCCTCAAAACAAAGGCAACTTCATGCATATAATCTCCTTTAAGTCTCTCAAATTTGCTTTTAAGAGTTGCATCCTCTAAAGGACAATATATACATATATCTAAATATATTTATATGTATACTCATACACCTAACACCCACATATACATTTACACACACATTCTAAAAGATAAATAGATGATAAACTACTTTCTTTAAGCAGTGAACACACAGCTGGAATGACGAATGTTTAACCCAATGAATTATGTTTCACTTTCCTTAGGACGGTTTTACCTTGGCACAAAGCCAGAATTTCTAAGTTTTTATTAATCAATATATAAAATGAACAAATTTAGCTTTCTTGTCATACCATAGTATCAAATTATGTTCTTTTACTGACTTATAAACTCCATTTGTTTTCTCTGTAGACCTGCAATATTCCAGGAACAATAATACATTTTTTATAAAGCTTATTGATTTGAGAGAGAGAGGAAGGGAGAGAGAGAAAAGAAATATCTATTTGTTCCACTTACTGATGCATTCATCGGTTGCTTCTTTTATGTGCCCTGACTGGGGATCAAACCTACAACCTTAGTGTATCAAGAGGACATTGGAACCAACTGAGCTGCCTGGCCAGGTAAAAATCGTCTCAGCAAAGCCACGTAATTTAACTTGTTTCTTTCTTTTATAAATGCAATCAAAATTCAGTCAGCCATTTTTATTTTCAGAAAAAGTTATTTTGAAATTGTTAAAGATTCAACTTTGTTTCCTAAAAAGAATTAATGTGTGTGTTGGGGGTGGAAGGTAGAGAGATTTGGTCTTATTACTCTAATGAAGGCTGGCACTCATTCAGCTAATCTGGTCGACAAGGGAATACTCTTTGCGTGGTTCTTTAATGACATGTATACCACACAGAGTCAAAAGACTGCTTCTGCATCTAAACCATGTGATCTCTGATACATAAGCTTAATTTTTGGTTTTCAACAAGATCACTGGACTTTTTTTAAACATTTATAAATGAAAAACACTAGTAAAGCAAAAACATTTTTTGGCACCCTTGGGAAACCCAATCAAGAAAACAGTCATCTGTCGTATTAAAGATAAATACATAAATGCTTCAAGGATACAAACATAAATTTTGATAAATTCTAATGAGACACACTGGGGAAGTCATAGTAAAACTTTAGTTATTAGTAAAGTCATTCTAATGAACTCACTCACGTTTATGTTCAGAGTAACTTAGAAATATTTCTGGCTGCCTCCTTGTATTCCATATGATCCAGAAAGCTTAGTACCTATTACAATTGTTTTTATTTTCAACATAGAGAGTCTCTCTACTGGGGTAGATTCAACAATGAAAAAAGAATAAAAATGTGACCATTGCTTTTCCCTACATGTTAAACTTGTGAATGTTTTTAATTAGTTCATTATTAGAGACTAGCAACTGTATACTTTCCTAAGGAAAACTATTCTTATTCATTAACCTAGGCCATTGGAAATGGGGAATGATAAGCAACACACACACAAGCATTCCTTATCTCCACTTCCCACATCGGCTTCTGAACTTAACAATTCATAAGCAGCAGAAAAATGAATATTATAGTCTCTATTACCATCAGTAAAAAGTGGCTCTGAATTCATTAAAAACTTAAATCATATGGCTCTGAGGAATTTATTAAGAAATTAAATTTCTTTCAAGTAAACCTTTAAAAATATCGAAGTCCCTTTATTAGTTAAAATACTGACTCAGCAAGTATACATGACTTACTACCTTAAAATGAAAATGGCCAGAGGGGGCATACTTCTCTCTTCTGTCAAACTTTGATTAAGATAACAACAAAAGTCCTAAAGTCAGTTCATCACTTTAAACTTTTTTTCTCTGCAGCAGAACCAAATCATGAATATTATGATCCTGGGTCAGAAATTGCTATCTGAGTAATTATGATTTTTTCATCTACGTAGGGAAATCTAAAAATCTCGACTAGCAATTCTAATTTGTAGCCTTTCAAAAACTGCGATAAAAGATTCACCTTATATTTAGAATTTTTAAAAAATATTTTATTTATTTATTTTTAGAGAGAGGGGAAGGGAAGGAGAAAGAGTGGGAGAGAAACATCAATGTGTGGTTGCCTCTCATGTGTCCCCTACTGGGGACCTGGTCTGCAACCCAGGCGTGTGCCCTGACTGGGAATCCAACCAGCAACCCTTTGCTTCACAGGCCCGTGCTCAATCCACTGAGCTACACCAGCCAGGGCTAAATTTAGAATTTTTAAAAACAATTTCCAAGTAACTTTCCAACTAACTTTATCATCCTATTTATAATCTTAATAAAAATGCTCTGATTTTATTAAATTGTTAAAATAACAATACTAATGTATTTAACTGACAGTGTATAAAGGTCACCACTATTTACATTAGCGATTCCATGGCACAGGGTAATATGTGCATGAACAGACTCTTGCTCTGCGCTTCTGGCTTCATTCATAGACTCATCTCCGCACCCCAAATACAGAGATGTGTACCCACTCATTCCTGGCTACTTTTACGTTCCCCGAATGTATGTGGCTCTTGAACAATCTCTTCTGCCTTGCAAACCTTCCCTACTTATCTGTCTTTAGGCATCATCAGTTCAAATGGAACCTGTCAGGTCCCCCAGTGTTCCCAGAATGCTTTGTATTCCCATATATTATAGCATGTGTTAAATACTGCCATTGTTTGTTAACACAATTAACACTGTCTGTCCTTCACACTTCCCACAGGAACACACACACGCACCCCACTTCTTTTCTGTATTCTCAACACTCAGGTGTTTGTAAAATTATAAACATTTTTAGGGCACTTTTTCTTTCAAAGCCCATCTGTTGAAAGATTTCATTTTAAATATGTGAGAGTTTAATGTCTACATTCTGTAATATCTACACATTCACAGAATATCTTATCCTTTCCAACCCAAGTATACTAGACATTTATTTTTTCTAATACTGAAATAGTTAATTAATTAGATCAAGACCACTTAAGAGGTCTAGGAAAAAAGGACACTAACGTTGTACAAGCCTAAGATTATTAAAAATCTAAAAGATGTTGAATTTGCTTTAAAGGAGAGTAAAAACTTAACTGCCCTTAAAAAGAATAATTGTATGTTTATCAAACACTCAGCTTCACTTAGGCATTTATTTAAGCCATTTATTGCTTCCAGTGTGTCACCATGAACATTTTAATATACACTTCACAGCAGTAAGGCCTCAATCTGCACCACCTAAAAACTGTGAGCCCACATTTGTACTTTTTTGTGTGTGTGCCACCAATTGTTACAAGAGTTTTGTACAACAGAGATTTGGAATGTGTATTTTATAATACCAAAAATGCTCATTATACCCCTTGGTGTAAATGTCACAGAGAATGTTAATAGCTGGCCACTTTTTTTTTTCCCCTTTGATGAGGTAGTTCCATGTCTGGCTATATGAGATAGTAATATCTCATACCTATTACTAAATAATTGCCCAAAGTGTGGGTTTACTTTTTTATACATGCTTTATAAAATATTCAGTGTTTGAGTTTAAGATTTGTTAAACTGTTTCTGAATGATTTGATATGTAGTGGAATTCACACACTGAAAAAGGCTACAGCAGCTGAAAATAGGGATGTTCCTGACTCTGACAAGGAACTTTCTTTTAAAATAAGGCTGTATATAAGGCTTTTTCCTTTGACCAATTCCTATAATAACAAATAAGTTTGGAAAAAATCATTCTATATCATTATAACATGAAACAATATCACTAAGTATTTCCAGGCAACATGCTGATAAGCTGAATACTACATTATATATTACTTTTTAAAGGTTTATAAAATCTTCACAAAAATAGAGTACCATGAAATCATGACACTATGAAATCATGAGTACCCACGAATGCACCTAATGTAGCTTTATGGGTTGTCCAGTTATCAAATCAGACTGCAGCATCTCAGAACTGCGGGATGGGGAAGCCGGAAGGGACCTCTGAATCCCCTAACCCATAACCTTTGGGTAGCATTGCATAGACTTCACAGTTTTCTGAATAAGTTCCAAGAGGTTCATAAGTGGTTTTCATTAAACAAAAATCTGATGGACCCAGTAAGTTCGGCTAAAAAAATAACAATAATGTAAGTATTTTTAAAGCTTTAAGGATTTTTCTACCAACCAGACTTGACAGTATGCAAAATTTGTCATTTAAATAGCACCTGTAGAATAAAACCTTAGAAGTGCTTCAGAGACTTCCTACAGCTAGCATCACCCTGGTTTAATAAGGCCCAGAGTGATTCAAAATTTGAATTAATTGTCATATCAATATATTGTAAAATAAAAAGTAGAACTAAATTTTAAGCTCCAATCCAGGGGGTCTCTTTATTTAAATTGGCCACACTGCCTCAAGTCAAAACATCTATAACCATTATTTTCATTCTATCTGTTGTAATTAGACTTCTTTCATGTCCTTCCAATAGAAGGAAAAGTCCAGGAATGCTCTAAAAAAATATATTTGCATTTCAAATTTACTTTAAAAATGTCTTTCCCTTACTTTCCCATCACCAATTTCAAGCATATGAAAGAAATAACAGATTACACAGCTTTCTGTGTCCTGGGTCTCACTCTGTCCCTTTCTACATTATGAAAATCAGATCTAATTGGAATTAAGAAATTTTGAATATTAAATGTGTAAATTATAAATACAAGTAATTTTTAAAAACTTTATTTTAACACCTAATACAGTTCCAATTTTAAGTATTACTTGCACAAAAAAATAAACACATTTGGTATAAAAATGTATCACTTTAACACCCTCTCCCCTTCAGCCCCTCCCATCCCACCCCCATGAACTGCACTCTGTCTGGATGCAGAAACATATAAAGACTAATGGCACAGAAGAGTTTTCACCTACAGGAGTTTCTGTTAAAGTGCCCAGGTACTCTAGAGGACACCAGCTCACTTTACCACACCAACCATCTCCTTCAGCCTGCTGAATGTAGTTTCACAAAGAAACAAAGCTTATTATAAAGGCATTTAAAAAACCATTATCTTAAATTCTTCTTAGAAGCACTAACTTTCTTTTTGCAACCATTTATATACAGTGTTACATAACAGCTCTGGAATACAGTACATGCAGCAGAACATACCTGTTAAATATAAAATACTTTTCTTAAAATCTTCATCGTTGGAATTCTTTGAAGTCTAAATTATAGAATGCCCATTACTTTGAGAAAATGGCTGAGGATTACAAATATCTGCATATGTTGGCCACTGAAATAATCCAAGGCTAACTGGAATAATATTCATAGCACACCAGGAGTGCATAAATAATTTACTTACATTATTAAAATACAACCCATAAAATTCAAATTCAAGATCTTACAGGATTGTCTATGTAAATCCTTTAAGTGGTTGCCTAGAAATGCATTGTTTCTTTTTTCTCTTTTCTTCTTTAAAGTCCTATATAAAATGTTTAGCCGAAGTTTTTCCTTTCTCTCGTGAAGCGAGCCCCTCTATTTGTGCCGGCTGCCCCTTCTCTTCATTGCGGCGGTACACTGTGGACAGTACCATTTTCCTTTTGGTGCTTCTGTCAGTCCAACACACCCATAGTGGAACCATTCTATAGGGCACTGGAAAGTAAAATTGCAAAGTAATCATTTTTAGTACCTCTACAGATTTGGGAGTCTGTTATATTATGCCCAGTAGAATGAGTATTGGTTAGATTAATGGGAAAAATGTTTAGATCTAGGAGATGATATACAAATCACATGGTCCAACTGATAAGCTTCAGAGAAAAGGAGATGGAGGCACAGAACAATTATGTATCTTTGTTAACTCTAAGATTGATGTAATCCTAAATAATGAACTAAAATTTACTAATTTTACTTCCAAAATTACCTGGAGAATAATTTCATTTTCACTAAAATTATTTGGAGAGTAAGTTGATACCAACTTTAAAAAAAGATTTTATATGTTTATTTTTAAAGAGAGGAGAAGGGAAGGAGAAAGAGAGGGAGACAAACACCGATCAGCTGCCTCTCCTGCACCCCCTACTGGGGACCTGGCCCACAACCTGGGCAGTGCCCTACTTGGGAATCAAACAGGCACCTTTTTAATTTTCAGGCAGGCACTCAATCCACTGAGTCACACCAGCTAGGGTGATACCAACTTTCAAAGAAGTGAGATGGGTCTCTTACATACAAAGAAAATGTATTTTAAAGATCTTATTTAAAATTCAGCCTTACTCTTTCCCACACAGACTGGAATAAGATACTTGTAATAAAAGACATAAAGGAATGCCCTGGGTTTCCTTCTGTATCCATTGCTAGACATGAAGAGGAAAGACACTATACTCTGCAATACATTAAGCAGTTCTATGCTTCCACAGAAAATCTCAGCATTCAGAAGGGTGTACCTGAGAGAGATCAGAGTATGATAGGATATTCATAAAAATATCATTTGTCATTTTCACTAACTGTCTAGAAGACAGTTTCCAATGCTGTTCTTGAAACATGTGGGCAACACTGTTTTTGCAATAATCACAAACAGCCCACAAGGAATTCTAAAAAAAAGAGGTGGACAGAGGGTATTTCTCTATGTGAACATGCTATTGGGATCCTGTCAGGTCAGAAGAAGCCCAAATTTTAATGTACCAAGCTAATCCTGCTGATCCTCATATTGTTTAAAAATTTAAATCTCTTAGTATTAACCTTAAGATTCTGACCTTACTGAGTAGGATTTCTATAAAATTCAGAGTTATCACCTCCTCTGGAGTAAAAGATGGATGAAAGAACCATGTGAAAGTAAGGAGGGAGTGAAAATTCCTAAGCCACACATTCTCAGCATTCAATAAAAGCACACATCTAGAGCCCTGGCTGGTGTAGCTCAGTGGATTGAGCACGGGCCTGTGAACCAGAGTATCACGCGGTTCGATTCCCAGTCAGGGCACATGCCTGGGTTGCAGGCCAGGTCCCAGCAGGGGACCCACAAGATGCAACCATACATTGATATTCTCTTCCTCTCTCCTTCCCTTCCCCTCTGAAGATAAATAAATAATATCTTTTAAAAAAAAGCACACATCTAACAAAAATTAAGCTTCAAAAAAAAGAGCAATGTCAAATATCCTTTAATTTTTATATCAGAAGTGGCTCCAGTTAGATCCTCACCATTCCCACACTTCACCTGAGCATCATACTTCCTGAAAGAATATATTGTTTAGAAGTCTAATTCTTCACTGTGGTAAGTGAACTGGATTCTAGTAAACACAACATTCTTCAGCAAAGGGGAAGGGTGTGTTTTAATTTTCATACAACATAACACCTTTTTGGGAAATATAATCTGCATAAAACCCTAAAATTAGTTTTAAAAGTTACAACAGGGAACATATTAAGGGACACTATTCTATTTTGGAGAGGAAAATTCTTCTGCATAACTGTTTTCCTAGACTGAAAGACACAGTAAACATATTCAAGTTACTAACATGTGATGTTTTTCATTCCTAAAGAGAAAAATTTAATACTTACATCTTGGTTATCACAGCCCACCATCTCACCATAGGATACCTAGTTAAAAAATTTTAAATATTCTTATTATGACTATACAACAAGCACCGACATGCAAATTGCTTATAATACTGTTAAAAAATACAGAAATATACCAAATATACAACTGTACTAAGAAACACAGTATATAAAGATTTATACAGTTTATATATCTTTTCTAAATGACTTTACAGGGCCACAGGGGGAGATACACAGAAATTATACCCTCTTTCAAAGTCTGAAAGAACTTGCTCTGTAAATTAACTTTGTGGGTGGTTCCTTATGTAAAGATTTCAAGTTTCTTCTTTGGTTACTTACCTACTTAAGTCTCTAATTTTTTCTTGGGTCATGTTAGGTCATTTATATTTTAACAGTCAATACTCCATTTAAACTTCTAAACATATTACCTTATATGTATATTATCTTGTATACATATATCCTTCCTCATTATCTTTTTGCTATTTATTACTAGCACTTTATAATACAACTTCCTAATTCCTAAATTCACTGGAGTTCTCAACGGACTGAATAATTTTCCAGAAAGGATTAAATAGATGGCATACTTTCTATTCTATGCACACAAATAACTTCTCTGGATAACAGTTTTTTGGAGGGCACTCAGATTTCTCCCTCAAAGTTCTATATACTAATTCAACAAAGTCTAGATTTTAGTGTTATGGAGGGAAACCGTGGGTGACTCTGATTTTATTCTTTTGTAAGAGGTATTGCCAAGGTAATACCTTTACAAACCTTTATTGCCAAGGTATTTACTGGATTTTCTTCCTTTCTTAACCTAGGAATGGAATCAATCAGCACCTTGATCTTAGACTACCCAGCCTCCAGAAATGTGAGAAAACAAATTTCTGTGCTTTAAACCACCCAGTCCGTGGTATGGTATCATGGCAACATGAGCAGACTACAATAATACACACTTGGAGTATGCAGTAGTGGTGCATCCAAATGTTTAGTTACACGTCATATCTGAGGGCTGAGATTATGGTTGACTTACATATTGCTTTTTACTCTTTGTATTTACGACAAACATCATTTTTATAAGAAACAGGAAAAAAGTATACAAAAAAAGGAGGGCTAGTTTAACTAGAGTAAAAATATCACTTGAACAAAATAAAATTGTTCTCTTTTTCCTAGTTTATTCAGATTATACTTTTATAGACATATGCTGGATTTTTACCTGATTACAAATGCAGTATCGTGGTTCATTTGGGTCATAAGTCCAATCAACCTGACTGTTCGAATCAGATTCTGGTACTACTGTGGTTTGCTGAGAGATTTCTTGTACAACAGTTGATGATGAAGAACATGATGACAAGGAAGAGGAGGAGGATGAGGATGATGACTGCTGGCTTGAAGACTTATTGTTTCTGAAAAAAACAGTATCAGTTTTATTTGCTTAGCAACCAGAAGTTACCTGAGAATAACTCCTAAGTAAAAGTGGTATGAAATTAAATCAATTGTATAAATTAATGTTTAAGACCAAGTTAAAGCCATCTGTTAAAGAGATTTAAAAGTATAATCATTTAGAACAGCAAAGCAACATTTTTCATAATGGTTTATTTTTGTTATCTGGAGAATAAAGGTATTTACAAAGAATTTTTTTCAAAGTATTTCAAATTTTTTCAAATAATTTTTAATTAGTTACTATTTACTACTGACAAATTGTAGGTAATACCTTTAAGAATTAGTATTAGTTATGAATACCTTATAGATAATTATTTGTATTTTTGGGCAAACTGAATACTCTTCATCAAAATTTAAAAACAAATATGTACACAAAAGTATTTGGTGAAAATAATCTCAACCATCAAGCAATGTGTGAATACTTACCTGTGTAGGACAGGAAACCAAGAGTTTTAAAACTCTGAAACAATTTATCGTTATCTATATACTAATTCAATATTAAAAATACAAAAATTATTACCAGTAGTTTTAATAATTGGGGTCTTTAAGATTAATTAATTTTTAAATTACTTAGCACTTTTGTGGTAATTCTACATTGATCATTCTTTTAGGGATTTACTCACAAAACAGAATACAGTAAAAAAATTATAATACAATTATTAGGTAACTAATTATCTTGGGTCAGCATTTGAAATTTAATTACGTATGGACAGCGGGCACATGCAGGCACCCATTCTCCTAGGAGTGTCGTACAAAGATATTTTCATAATATCAATTTTAGGGACAATAAGACTAAGAATTAAGACAACTTGTTTTTAATCAAAATGAAGAAACTCATTTAAAAGCAACAAATTTCCAGGATTAATTTGTATTTTATATGTTAATTTACCTAAAACACATGACAAAATAAGGGTTTACAAATGAAGAAGGTCTCATAAAGTGGTTTATCCTAATGAACAAAAGAAGGTAAACATTTGTTAACAAACCCAATTTCAGACTAAAAAAATTAAAGACTTAACACTTTTCACAGCCTTTACCCCTTCAGCGTATGGCAGTATAACAATGCTGTGCCTTCCACCTCTCCAAAGTGTACTCAGACCCCCCACAGCCTGCCCCTGTTACTAACACAGGGAAGCCCAGTGGGATGCCAAGCCAAGTGCGCACATTTGTTAAAGATACAGGGCTCCTGTAAGACTTACTTGCTCTTTCTCCCACTTCGTGAGTCCGCTGCTGATGCACCAGCATTCTGTGTTAATGTAGTCATGAGTGCTGAAGAAGATGAATAGCCAGCTGTTTCCCTGGGCATTGAAAATTCTTTTCCCAGCTGAAAGTCATTATTTTTAAATGCTTCATAACTGGCTTTTAAACTTGATGTTCTTCGTCCTTCTTTCATCTTGAATAGACATTCATTGATAGTATTAATATACATAAATACGTAGACTGTCTTTTTCAAGTGTTACTAGTTACAGCACTATTTTGGTTTAACCAATACTACTTTATTTTGTTTAAACCATTATTCTCATCGTTGATATTTAAGCTATTTTATGTAAAGAATTAAAACCAGTTTTTACACAGTTAGAAAGTAATTATAGGATTGGTAACTTAATGTGGAATAGACACAAACTGCAGAAGTGAACCAATTCAGAGCAACCTAAGTTCTGAGGCTGCAGAGAAAGCCCAGGAACATAAAGAGAACAAAGGGCTATCCTAGCAGGTGCTGTGGATTACAGTCAAGACCATGGACACCATGAGCAATTACTGTGAGAAGGAATCTGCATGACATTGTACGAGTCTGTATTTTTACTTTTCATTACCAGCCAAGTAATTTTGACATATTCATTTCATTAAATAAAATGTAGGACATCATAAAACTATAATTTAAAAATGAAACTATGCAATTAAGAAAATGCTTTTTGTTCACATCTAGTTGTTTCCACTAGATTTTGCCAATAGGGCACAGCCTCTGCCTTTTACCTGAGCAGTAGCTTGGACTGCTTGTGCTGCCGCCATGGTAATTGCCCCGGCACCAGTTCCTGATGAGAACGAGCCGATGTTGTAGGAGGCCAGGGGCTGCGAAGAATTCACATTGTAAGCATTGTTGGAAGAGGCCGTGGAATTATTGTTTCGACAACCTGTGTAGAATTAAAGAGGAAATAAAAACGGTCAGAGAGAACTTAAAGTTAGTGCATTTAAAATAACATTATTTGCATCATATATATAATCATTAATTTAAAATTTGCACATCATGTTTTTCCTTTTCCTTCTTTCCCCATATGTAGACTTTAACCAGGCAAAGACACTAGATGATTCATTAATCCTGAATGCTTTCAATTCTTCTTATTTTAACATGAACAAACTAAAGTAACCAATCATACTTTAAGAAATAAATTTACCTAGTGTATTTTCCTTGGAGGCATCTGACGTTAGAGTAGATAGAAGAGCTTCAGACTTAAACTTTTTTTCAGGAATATGATCTGTTGTTGCATGGTGAGAAGTTGGATTATACTTCCTTTCTGCATATAAATAAAGAACCCATGTGTTTTTAAACTTTAGAGAACTATGGACAAGGCATAATACTTCCATCTAGTTATAAACTGGTACGTCTATGATCTGAGTTCCTCAGGAAATACAGAACACTATGTTTTCTTAGAAGACAGGAAAAACAACTAACTCTCTGTGTCACAGGTTTTATCAAGAGCAGAATGCTCAAATATTAAAAAAAAACAACCCAAAACTTCAAGAAGCAAAGTATTGAAGATAACCCATGATACACAATGGTTTCATATACAGCATAAGGGAAAGTCTATCTTGAAAACATTATCTAAAATTGAGGTAAGTTTTTAATCAATGCTTCTTTCATGTCAAATTGACTTGTCAAAAAAAAATGCACAGATCAAATCATCAAGTCAACTGGCTAAATGAAACCTTATTATATGCCAAACACCAGGTTAGGCACTGGGCCTGCCATCAGGTAGCTCACTGCCTGGCTCAGTTTAACACTCCCTAGGAGAACCAGGTGTTTGCAGGGCAGTCAGAAGTATAGACTATTAGTGCCAGACATTCTTCCTCTATATGGATTCCAGAGTAAAACAAATTCCCTGTTCCTAAATCAAATATGCTTTTCCCAAGTGAAAAAGGGAAGTCTACCAGTAATCGCAATAATAAATACATATTTAACAAAATAAAGAAAGAGAAAGATACTTATTTATCAATCAGTTGTATAGACCTAATAAAAGAATATACAGGTAATATGAGTTTTTAATTGTATTTAAAAATTTATTTGCACTAAACCAAACTTACTTTCTACTGGAGTATGTGAATGAGCATGGTGATTGTTCACTGGCTGTGAAGGAGTATCTAATTCCAAAGATCCTAAAAACGGTGGGGGAGCACAGAGATTCATTGCCATTAACTGTCACCACAGAACTTTACATGTCAATCAAATACAGGTACTCTGCATTTACTCAGAAGAGGACTAGCAAACTGAAACATATGCCTCATTTTAATCAGACACATTAGGTCACCACTGCCAATTTCACCCTGAGCCAATTCTATTGTTTCTATAAACAGTAAGTAACCCATTTCTCAATATTCACCTTAAATACCAAACAGCTCAAGTTATGCTAATGTCTAATAAGGGAATTCACAACAGTAAGTGTTACAGTGTAGATGAATGGATATTACAACTCCATTACTGCTAAGAGGTAAAAAATTCAACATAGTTTTTCTGAATTGAAGACTTTGCTATGGGAAATCCTAAAGTATAAGGCAATGGGACATTACTACATGAAAGAAAATTCTTTGATCATTAAAATAACCTAAGATAGTAAAAATTTCCTAAAAGAAGGCAGAGATTTTGCTTGTGGAAAATGAAGCATAAAATCTCTACCGCCAAGCTTTAAAATACTTTAAAATAAATGTTCTGGGTTTCTTTTGATCCCTTGAGATGAAATTGTGGCAGGGCATAGGGTAGAACAGTTTTTATATTGGATCTAATTTAGTCTAATATGTCTGTGTCCTTATGAGGATGCTTCATGAATTCTCCTGCAGTACTGAATAGGCATAAATTATCATCGTACCTATTATCAGCCTTTCAAAAAAAATCAAAACAGGTATAGGATATTTTATTTTGTCTCAAAATACTTATTATCTTCAGATAGGGTTCCCCTGGAATATCAGATGATCATCTACATTGATGGATCCATCCTGACTGGTTTGGCTCAGTAGGTTGGGCATTATCTGGTAAACTGAAAGGTTGCCAGCTTGATTCCCAGTCAGGGCACATGCCTGGGTTTCAGGCCAGGTACCTGGTTGGGGACCAGTGAGAGGCTATAGATCTATGTTTCTCTCCCTCTCTTTTTCTCTCCCTTCAACTCTCTCTAAAAATAAACAATCTTTAAAAAATAAATAAAGTTATGGATCTACTGTTGAATACAAAACGCAACTATGGACACCAAGATGGATTTGTGCCTGGCAGCTTCCCTAGCTGACTTTTTGTGAGAGTATAAACAGAGATAAATTAACCTCATACTGTAAAGAAACCTTTCATTTGTGTGTAGAAATAAGTACATGTTCTTGCTGTTGAAATGCACCAAGAAAAAAAAAGATGTTGGAACCCTTTAAGTAAATTCTAGTACAAATCAGCCAAAAAACTAACTTGGTTCACTAATATTGAGCTAATGCCTACTCTGGGTTTAGCACCACACTGTATGCTTTATGGACATTAAATATTTAGGTTGGAAAAAGTGCTAAATTAATTAAACAAAGCTCTTGTCTCCATTTTTGAGAAGGCTCCTTAGTTAAATCCAAGAAGAGATATAGATAAACTATAGCAAGAGATCATGCTAAGCCTTGTAAAGAAATACTATCAACATGGCTTCTTGCTGATACAAGAAAGTTTAGAAGACTTTTTTGAGAAAAAGAGACAGTACTGTGGAACCCATTAAAATCTTTCTTAGTAACACAGCTGAGCAAAGGCCTTAAGATAGTTCTTAAGAAGAAATAATAACCTTTCTCAAAGTTTACTGTTTATACAAAGCATAAAGAGGCAGGGCAAAGTCAATACATTTAATGACAGATGGGTGACTTCTTTCTAGATGGTTATTTTTCTTTAAATCTTTGTTCTTACCACTCATCTTACTAGCACATTGCATATTTTAAAATGGAATGACTCAATGTTATTTTCATAGTGGGTGAATGACTACCCTATTTATCTCTCTCAGTTTCCATGACCCAAACAGTTCCGACTGCCAAGGCTCCAAGCTTTTTGCCCCGGCTGCCACCACTCAGCGAAGTGCAGGATCTGAGAAGTCCCTGTGGGTCCGGTCTCTCCTCGGTGATTTGCATACGTACTGTCCAACATTAATGGAAAACTGTAAATTTTACTTACGCCTCTCTAATATTTCTGTAATTCCAGCATTATCAGCTTCCAGCTCCATTTTAAACTTAGCCAGTTCCTGATCCAGCTTTCTCAAGTGTCGATCTACCTGTTTCAAAGAAGACCAAAGATAACCACCAAAATTTGGGACACTATTAAAGTGTCAGTTCAATGAGGAAATCTACATCTTTATTTCTGTTAGTGAATCTGTGTTGTATCCTTGAGCAGATCAATTAACCTACACTTCAGGTTTTTAATCTATAAAATGAAGACGCTGGCTAAATAATCTCTGAAGCCCTCTTTAATAAACTTTAAGTTTTAAGAAAACAAAATTGCAATTTGTTAAAAAATGTTTGAAAAAAGTGGGATATAAAAACTAAAGTAAAGCTGACATTAGGGATCTGGGGGAGGGGTGAGGCACAGAAAAAGTCCGGTAAGTTTTCACAGTATGCCCCGGAGTAGTTTCAGCCTACCCTCACCCTGCTGCTAATGAGGCCATCCACACTGCCACACCAGTCAGTTACTCAGAACAACCGATGAAAGACCCTCAGTGCAGAAACAAAGAAGCTACTCTATTCTATATGTACATTTCTCTGAGGCAGGAAAGCGGGCCACCATACTTGTAAACATTTATGTAAAGGGCTGAAACAAAGGGTTGTTTAGCCAGAAAATGCCATTCCCCAAAGAGCCTGTTTAAAATGGTTTTATTGTAAAACTACTGCCCTTGTAAAGGTAGCAAATTTTATTTTCTCACTCACCTAGAGACCTTTTGACTAATTTCAGAAAATGATATGACATCTCAAACTAGCAACAAGCCTTAATTTATTTTTTAAGGTTAATATTAAAATGTTTTCAAATTTACTATTTTGAAGTGAAACAGAAAAATCATGAAATCTTTGAAAAATATTCACATTACATTACTGACATCTTTTTTCAAACTCTAATTTCGCACAGGATCACTGTTGTAGTAAAAAATAACCTTCTTACAAATATCAAAATGTCTATGATACATTACAAGAGCAAAATATTTAAATAAGAATTGCAATTATATAATGTGTATCCAAAATAAAGGGGAAGCAGAGAAAAGTAGCAAAAGATAATTATGTGTGCACTAGATACCAAGTAATGTGCTCGGTGCTTAAATGGTCTTTTTTTTCTAGTCCTCCCTTTAATCTTTTGAGATAGGTTATTACTATTTCCATTTCATAAGAAGAAACCAAGGCTCACAGAAGTTAAGTAACATGCCCAAAGTCAATAACTAATGCATTATGGAAGTGAGATTTAACACTGATCTAACTGTAGTAAGTTGTGCTTCACCATTTATACCTAACATTGCCCTCTGAACCTGTATATGCAAAAGCCAATTTTTTTAACTCAAGAGTTATGTAATTCAAATTAAAAACACATAAATATTGTCTTATTATTTATATTTTATACATCAACAGCAACAACTGGGGTGTTGGTTTGATTTTTCAATAATTTAAACCACAATTTTCCTCCATCTTCACATGCAAGTTATTTTTCAGAGCTCGGCAGAAGTTGTAATTATAATATTTTAAATCCTATAGGGTCACATATTATGGGCACTGCTCCTATTCAAAGAACCTGCAGGTAAACTGAGCATCCTTTAAAGGGCCCTCCCTTCCAAAAATAAAGTATGAACACAGACCTCAGTTATTCAAGAATATATTTTTATATTGTCAAAATTTAATCTCAAGGGAAATCAGAAAAATACTCATATTTGATTCCAAGACCACTTAATGCACAGAAGGTACTCCACCACTCTTCTCCCCTACAAATACACTACTAGTAAATATTGAGTTCTTATTATGTGCTTGGCGCTGGGTTACATGAAGGATACATGAAGTATGAGAAACCCTGACTTCATAGTAATTAGGATTCAGCTAACAAATCAAGATTTATATATGATTTTTAATATGATAAAGGTTTAGAGTATATCTATACAGCAGATGTATCAAATAAGCAACAGTTGAAAAGGGGTCAGAAGTAGCACTTAAAAAAGATAACATTGGGCAGTACAGACAAACAGGAAGCATGAACGCGTTAGTGAAGAATGGATTGTATTTAAAAAGACAGAAAAAAGAGTACTAAAGAATGTAAAGAGACAGGAAGACAAAAAATGTTCTTAGAGAAAAATAAAGTAGAGTATGGTGTGGCCCGTAATAGGTACATATAACTTATTAGTATCTCCGTTGGGAGAGTGGGAGTAGGGTAAGATGAAGACATTATCACACCCCACTGCAGCCTGCAATGAAAAACCACTTTACTTTATTAAAGACAGTAGTGACAAGGTTTATTATACATGAAACTATAGAAAATAATTATGAGAATTTCCACTACTACACAGCTCCAAAAAGCACTGCAACCCAAAGAATAATGCAAAAAACACAAATTTGTAACTTCAAAAAACAAACACAGAAAAGCCTTACCCACAGTGTTGTGGGCAGCTTTGTTTAACAGCTTACAATCATTCCCACCTCCCAATATGTAAAAAAGATTATGAACTGATTAATAACATAAGCAATTATTAGTCAATGAGAATTTTCTTAGATTCACCATTGTTGTATTACATCAAATTAGAAGTTGGAAGGTAAGTTAAACACATATTTAAACTGAAGCTATAAAGCACCAGAATACTTACAGAGTATTAAAAAGCCACAGCAAAAGCTTAATTGAACTTGACTATAATCTAAAAAGTGCATCCCCTCTACCTACATGATTCTGAATGGCTGAAGGATCTATTCCAGCTGATCACCATATGGCCTCATAGATTATAGACAAAGCAAGAACCTAAGTTACCAGACCCCTGCACACATACCTGACCCGTAAGACTAATTTCTAGCAGTAAAGGGGGTACTGATCCAACTGAGACTTAATATTTTATTGACTACAGATTGCTAACACAAAGCTGACCCCAGAGTCCGATTGTTGATTTGTTCCCCACTTAATGTCAATAAATGCTAGCCACAAAAGTTTCCTTAGACTCCAAAACCATACCCTATAACACTATATTCTCAGTGCTTTAAAATTATCATCATTTTTCTGACCTCTTCAGGGACAAAGGAAATTCTCTCAGCATATTTAAGATATTCATGATCATAAAGATACATAGTTACACTTGGCTCCTGTGCATGAAACAAAAATCCTCCTTCTTTAACATTTTTGCATACAGTTATAATCCTTTTCTTCTTTTGACTCTTCCAGTGTTCTAACATCCAAATTTTCATGTGTCATTGATAGACCCAAATTGAACTAAATGTACATAGCTTTTAAAAAGTTTCTACATGATTTATGGTTCTCAATACATACAAATATAAAATTCAGATGTCTAACCTCCCCTTTTAAAATGAGCACTCAGTCTAGAGGGTTCTAAGTTGAAATCCATGACCTAAAGAGATAAATTTCTATCCATGAAAAGATCAGGTAATAGTGAATAAGGAGGGTAAATTGGGGAAGGAGAACCATAAGAGTAAAGTATTTCTCTGGTAAGTCATGAAAATGATTCTTTCCATCTCTGAATTATATTTAAACTAGATGAAAATTTTATCTATCTTTAGGCTGAATCAAATACTTGAGGCCTTAGCACATAAACTACATCTAATCATCTTCCTAAAAGACAGTAAGGGTAGAAGACAAATCGAAAGGTCAAACCTGCATAATATATTTCCTTAATTAAGGTGCCAGATGAAGAATTCTCAAATTTATAGGTAAAACGTTGGCCTGAAGTAAAATCATCTCGGGAACAGGGCAGGATATAAAAAAGCAGCAGGTTCAAGGGTACTGAGCACTGTAACAGACTGCTGAAATTGTTCAAGTATTAACAGAAAGTTCAAATTTTATCAGAGTATACGTAAATCAACCTTATTAGGTATTGTAACCTACTGCAGCCCAATGACAGTGACATCTGGCTGAGGAACACAAATGAGTCCATGATGATTATGAGTATCAGGATTCTAGAAGGAAATTATTGTAATAAAAGACAGATTTTTTTCTGTTAGTCAAATTTCACTGAAACACTACTGAAATAAATTTTTAGTTTGTTCTATTGAACCCTAACTCCACAAATCTGCTCATTTGTTGACATTTATGCAGTCCTCTTAATAAATGAGGTTATAAGTGCAGTGCAAGTCACAGGAATGAAAAGTTTACTACTGATTTTAAAAATAAACAAAATAGTTCAATAAAAAAATCATGTAATGAAATATGCTTAGTAAAACACTGAAGGGCAAAATCAAATACGATTATATACTCAATTGTTATATCTTAAAATCTATCAAAATAATACATGCTTACTTAAAATTACCATAAAATATGTTTATTAAGCAAAGGCATACAACAGTCATCAGTTTCCTCTAGGGTGTACTTCACTCCTCCGCTCAGAATCCTCCCGCTGCCGTCAGAATAAGAATCACACTGCTGCATGGACTCGCACCCCCTGCAGGTGCTGGCTCCTGCCTGCTTCCCCTCAGACCACTCCTCCTTTCTCACTGCACTCCAACCACACTGGCCACTTTCCCGGTTCAATCTGCCAAGCACTTTTCCATCTCGGACTCTGCACTTGGCACATCATCTGCCTAAAATGTTTTTCTTTAAAGCTTTTCACATGGCTGGCTCTCTCATTTTCCAAGTATGCCCTCAACTGTCACCTCCTGAGACTACATTCACCCTGACTATACTCTTAATAGCTTCCCCCAGTTACTCATTCTTTTTCCCTCTCTTCACAATGTTTATATCCTTCACAGCACTTAGTGAAATCTAAAATAATCTTTATTTACTAGTTTGCTTATATTCTTTGCCTATGCATGTCATTACTGCTCACCTAGCAGTAACTGTTCATAGCTGGAGCTCTATAAATATTTGCTGAATGAAAGTTATGCTCTCTCCCTAAGCATAACTTAATCAGTAGAAGTAGCACTGTTAACTGAATGATCTATGAATAAAAGTTCTGTAATTTTACATTTACACTATGTCCCACCTACTCACCTCTCAAGTACACAGCATTCTAAGGTCTCAAATGTTAAATGTTACCAGAATTTAATTTCTCTTTAATGTTTATAAAAACTTTCACTTGGATTGTTTACTGTTATT